CTTTATTGAATGCAGATTTCTTAGGCCCAGGATTAAGGATGTGCACTGCCAGGATTCAGAGTTTCCCTACTGGAAGCACTTGCCAGTTTTTCATTGGCTTTCTTCTATCCCATTTCTCATTTACCGTGAGCTTTTAAAGGCATCTCTGGCTGGGTAACTGCTTCCCTGAGAGCTAAATGAAGAACTCAGTGCTGCCTCTCATGAATGACTCCAGCCATTGTGGCCTGGAGCTATCCCTGCCCATGGTCCCACTGCTTTCTTACATATCAGAAAGGATGCGTTTCTTAACTTTGCAACAGGGATCAAGCCATTTGCACTGCATGAAGAGCTAAGTGATGGCTTCAAACTGACTAAAGAATACCTTTATAAAATGTAAAAGGTCCCACTGTTTCTCACTGTGCCTTCTGATAGATCTCGAAGCTCTTTACTTGCTGTAATCACAGTATGTTGGACCCTCGAAGTGATGCCTTGCTGCAGCTCTTGCAAACATGGATGGGTACCCATGGGAAGTGGAGCTTGTCCTTGGTGTGCAGCTTTGGTACTGCTCTGGGTGGTTATTCAGTGTGCCAGTGCTGCACTCTGCTGCCCATGCCGTGAACGGCACAGATCTTCATTCCTAAGATGCTCCATTAGGAAATGCCCTTGGAAAAGGGGGTGGTTATTTATTCTTTTTGACTTCTTCAGTACAGCTTCTGTGGTACCATGAGCAGATAGCTCTGTTTCTGCTGAGAGTGATGGACCTGGAGACATTCAAGACCAGGCTGGATGTGCTTCTGAGCAACCTGATGTAGTTGAAGACGTCCCTGCTCATTGCAGGGAGGCTGCACTAGATGAGCTTTGAAGGCCCCTCCCAACCCAAACCATTCTGTGGTTCCATAAACCAGATGCAATTGCTTCTTCATCTTAAATGTGTCCAAATATCTGAAGGAGCTCTGAAAAATGTAGCTGAAATGTGAAATGAAAACGCTTCGGAAGATTCATTTGCACCACTAAATCAATGGGAAGCGCTAATATGGAGAACGTGGCAAACATTTGCAGTTCTGTCATCTTGCCTCTGTATCTCAGATGGTTTTGGGTGACAGTTGCATCTTCTTCAATGACCAAACTTTTCTGCTGTTCCCTCAAGTGACCCAGTTGCAGCCTCATGTGCCTGATATGTTCTCATCCTTTTCAGAGAATCAGGGAATCAACCGGGGTGGAAAAGCCCTTTAAGATCATCGGGTCCAACCATTCCCCATCGCTGCCAAGGCCACCACTAACCCATGGCACTGAGGGCCTCATCTCCACAGTGTGTGAACACTTGCAGGGACATCCTGTTCCACTGTGTGTGAGTGGCTGTGGAGGATGAAGCTGAGCTGAACCATCTTTCTCCTTTTACTGTGCTTCAGGCTAACTCTTGAGCAGTAAGGGTCACAGCAGGATGATGCTGATGAAGCCATCATCTCTGACCTGTGATGAGGGCACGGTTCCTTCTTGATGTTGCCAAGCTCTGCAGAGAGGTTGATGCTGAGCCAGCTTTGTGTAGCTGGTTGGTACCCAAGGTCTGGAGTAGCTGTCGATGTCCTTGTGCATAAACACCCACTTCAGATAGGCAACTGTGTAGTTCAGTCCACCCTCTTGCTCAGGTTAAGTAGGCTATTGCCACAAAGTCATGTCCTACTGAACCAGCGTTTCTCCAGTGAAGAAGTAAAGCTCTAACAGAGCTTTAGGGTTTCTGATGGTGGGGTTTTTTCCCCTCTTTTTTTGGTTTGTATCTCTCCTCCAGGAAAATGGAGGGGAAATGAAGAGGATGTAAAGGAAAGACTGTCGTGGAAACCAACCAGCTCAGCCATTTCTAGAAACAAGGCTGTGTGCTGAAAGCATCCAGAGCAGTCTGGTCCCTCCAAGCTGGTTTCAGTGAGAGACTGGTGGTAGGAAGGTGCATAAGGGCCAAAGCCAGGTTGGACACAGGGGCTTGGAGCAGCCTGCTCTAGTGGAAGGTATCGCTGCCCATGGCAGGGGTTGGAACTGGGTGAGCTTTAAGGTCTCTTCCAACCCAAACCAATCTGGGATACTATGGAAGTCAGTTGGATTCTGGGTCAAGTCCTAATGTGTTGACCAAGTCTCAGGACAGAGCAGCTTGGCTCAGCAGTGACATTAAGCTGTGAAAACTGGGCTAACTCATTTCCCTGAACAGATATGCTCTGCAATTCCTGGCTTTCCACAGGCCAGCACTGCATGGAAAGCAGGGAAGTGAGGAGCAATTGCTGAGGCTGGCGAGCTGCTTTTCAGATGTGAATAACCCAGCTGTTTCAAAGTGATTTAAACCATGAAACCACTGTGACACAGAGCACAAAAGATGACAAATCTCATTTGGAGAGGTTTGTGTTTTGAGAGGAGGGGACAGTTTGCATGCCAGGTTTTGGATCGGAACAGGTACAGACTAGCAGGGAATAAAGTGCTTCTATCTAGCTTCGTATCTTTGGCTTAGATAGAAAGTAGTTGCAGTTTCCTTTGGAGTAACATGGTTTCTAGATGGCAATGAGTTTCTTTTTCGCTTACCTGGCTATCCACCCTGTTTTTTCTGGGGTTAATACCTCCTACTAATGAGTTTACCTTGCACAAGATCACCATTGTGTCCCATTTCCCTCAGCTGTGAGACTTGGGAGAGATTGTCATGCTGCAGCAGAGTCAGAGAGCTCAGATCTACTTGGAAAAGCAACCCAAGCGAATTACCGTGTTGCATCTCATTGTAGTGCATTGAAATGGATACTTGGTGGTAATGGGAGACAGATTGCTCCTTCCAGCAGGGTTTGGACCTAACTGAACTGGGAGGAAGAGGATAATACAAGTTCTTCAAAGAGAGATGCTGGCATTTCGCTCTGCTGGAGGTGTGAGTTTTGCCTACGCTGCTTTGAGTCAGATCCAGGAGAGTCTCTACCCACTGCTGCAAACTGGCTTGAAGCCCACATTTTTCTGTCAGAGTTGTTTATCCATTTTTATACCCCACCAGCTTCTACTGCTGAGGGAGGAGAAAAAACTCTTCTTCGTCCTACAGAAATTCTGTTCCTTAGAAAACTAAGGCAAGCACATCCAGCTTTGCCTGAGAGCAGCTTGCAGGGATGGCACGGTTATTACTGTCGTTAGTTATCTGCTTTAGGTAAAAAGACCTGTCAGGTTTATTACATTGGTGATCCCCTTAACATTACATTTCACAAGGAGACTCTCAAGTGTCCTGTTCCATAGTGGAGTAATCGTGTGCTTAGTCAGTCAGCCCAGCGAGGTTTCTGTAGGGGTATAAATACTTCTTTAAGGGTGTATCGCCTGCAGTGCATGGTCTGTACAGTGGTGGGACAGTGAAGCTTGAAGGGCTGTGAATGGCACACCTGGGAGAGTGAGTGTCCTGGCTTCAGATGTATCTAGGAGTGTTGAAAAGGGGGAGCTGTAGCGCTGGAGAGAACGGGAATTCCTCTGGGTGCAGAGAAGATGCTCTTCTCGCAGCCTGTGTAAGCCGCAGCGATGGTTGAATGAATGCAGGCAGGATCAACCCATATTCCCTGTGTCGAGGGAGGAATAGATACTGCCACAACACGGTTTCTTCTGTCCTCATCTGTTGGCTGGAGTATGTGAACTGGACCCAAGGTTTATCTCTGATGGCTGTAAAAGCATCCTCAGGTGGAGAGCACGGTTGGAGCTGTGCACACCGGGAGCTGAGAGACAGGAATCCCTTCCTGTTACTGTTAATGAATTAATGAATCTGGACAATATTCAATTAATGAATCTAGACAGTATTCAATTAATGACTATAGACACAGGGAATGATTTTGAGCCATTTGCTGCAGCTTTTTCTGATGTGCTGAAGCACCTGTGTCAAGCTAGGAGGAAAGCTTCAGGGTAGGGATAAGAAAGATTCCCCCATTGTTCATCCCATATGTGGGCTGCTGCTTGGAACTATAGTTGTCTGACTCTGAAGTTTTGGGGTGAGGACCAAGTTGGTCCCGTATCTTACATGTATTCTGCTACATGCAGCAGCTTTTGGACTGAGCATCTCTGCTCAGAGATCTTTGGCAGACCAGGTTAGAAGCATCGGTAGTGATGTGGATCAGGGAGGTCATCTCTGCTCCTAAGGGATTTGATGTAATACTTTTTCATTGCAGGCCTGTAGGAGAAGAAATACTGAGGTGCCTGTCTCCCATAATGAATTGTGTAAAGCAGAAAAAAGCTCCTTCAACCAGTGTCACCCACATCACTAATGAGTGCCCCCGGCCAACAGCAGGGACTGTGTTTTTCTCCTCCCATTTGATCACTGCTCTCTTCATAAAAGCCTCACCTAAACCCCTTGATTCCTCTAGAGCTCAGGGCCTGGTACAGCACAGCAGGAACACGAGTGTTTCAGAGCCCCTGGGATGGTGAATGCAGCTGGAGGAGGGAGAGGATGGGGAAGCATGACAGAACAATTGAGAAGAGGGAGTTTGCAGTTCTGTCCTCCTGAAAGTCAACCAATTTCAGTGATTAAGGAACTTTAATATGCACTTACACCAATAGCTTCAAACACCTCCTTTAAATGTTCACCTCCCACATCTAAGCAGCTCTGTCATTAACTTGATTCTCCAGTGTGTGAGCTCTCCAGCTTCTTCCAGTGCCTCTGCCTGAATCCAAGTGTTCGGAAAAGCAGGTACTTCATGAGGAGTCTCAGGATGGAGTTTAGGGATGGATGTCTGACTCCTACCTCCGAAAACCTCTTTAGACACCAGCAGTGGCAGTGAATGAAATCCTGGCCCTTGCAGTTAGTGCTAAGGACTGGGAAAGTTCTGCAGCAGGGTGCAGGAAGAGATGATGTCCTCCTCCATTCCAATCTTGAGGTTCCCTTTTCCTCTTTCAAAGGGCAGAAGTACAGCTTGTAGCAGATACGTTTTAGCTGTGTTTGTAGATGTATGTAAAAACACGGGCTTAGCAGGCAGCAGGCCATAGCATGCAATCAGATCTGAAGCTCCTTCTTCTTTCTTCCTCCTGTTCTGCAGGCAAGAGGCGCGGATATTCCCGACATCCCAGGGGAGCTGGCCCTCCGGACCTGCGGCAGCACAGCCAGCATGAAAGTGAAGAATGTGAAAAAGTAAGAGCAGTGTCCTTTGATTTTCCTGTCCTTGCTTGGCTTCTCTTTGTGATATCCCAGCGAGGGCATTCGGGAACGATTTGGGGTGGTATCTTCCTCAGAGCCACCAAGATCCGTGTGAAACCAAGTAAATTAGAGCTGATGGAGTCTAAAAGTGGGGATGTGAGAGGCTTTGGTGGCTCTCTGCTCTGTTTGTGGCCATAGAAACAAAGCTTCTTAGAGTTTTGGACTTACACATTTTCTTCTTAGAACGGATTAATAATAATAACTTAAAAATACACATTAAAAGAACCTAAAGAGGGTCCCAGGCAATGTGTCAATGAGAGAATCTTCCCTCTCTTCCCATGCTCTGGGAAGCTAAACCAGGACAAACGGGTGGCCTAGATACATTTTTTCTCTTTCCCTTTCTTTGCGTTCTGCCCTGTACATCTTCATCTGAATGGGGTTTGCACAGTTTCAGGGGTGTTTTTTCTCCTCTGATCTCCCAGATCTATTTTTCCATGGTCTCGCACTGTCCTTCTCTCTCATTCTCCCCCAGAGAATATAAAGCAATTGATTCTGCTTGCAGCTAAGGTTTCAAACCTCTAACCTGCAAAGGGGATCGGCAGCAATCAATATGTCTTTGCTATGAATGCTGACTGGAGGACCACAACTCCCCAGCATCGATTGCTCTGTGCCTTCAGCTCACCTCTCTGGTGCTGTAAGGGAAATGGCTCTTTGTTCTAGCGCTGAGCAGCCAGCTGCTGCATCTCACTTCCCACTTCTATTCCCGTGGGAAGAGAGAGCTAGATAATGACAATCTCATTGGCTCACCACCAGCAATATCTATAGGAGTCTGTAATAGCTTCAGCAGAAGCGAGAGCATGTTGCAGAGCCAGAGGATCTCCCCGTCAGCCCTCATTGTAAATGGAGACACTTGGAAATAATTATGGCTCACTTTGGAATTTGAAAGAGGCAAAGGATAAATAGCGTTTGTTCTGCACCCTCAGATACATCAACCCGGGACTGATGGGCTGTGATGCCTTTCACAGGTAAAGCTCTACTTTCCTATGTGTCTCGTGTAAGGCTGTGTATTTGCACTGCACAAAAGCTTTTGTAAAGATAGAGCAGCTTGTCCCTGTGCCTGTCCTTCAAGATGTGGGCTTTGGTGTGGATGAGCTGCCACACAGTGCTTTAAGGATGCCGTGGTAAAAGCCACTTTGCACTTTAGTTTTCCTTTCTCACTCGATTCCTTTCTCCACTCTTTTGGTGCATCACATCAACAAATCCCTCTGTTCCCTTGGCTTTTGGATGAGGAAGTGGGAAGTGTTATTTGCTATTAGTAACTGCATTTTGGAATGGTACTTGATGCTTGGTTCGCTGATTTGCATCTATCTGATGAGGTGCTTTTGATGTGCTTCAGGTTATCCTTTACAAAGGGTCACTTCCCGAAGATGGCTGAATGTGCACATTTCCATTATGAAAACGTGGATTTCGGCAACATCCAGGTGAGTTTCTGGCTTCTTTTATATACAAAACATCCCTGGGTTTGGCTGACAACTAACCTGCTGGGGAAGGCAGAGGAGGGACCTCCACTAAGGTTGGTTTAGCTTGTTGTTTAGTGATGAGAAGTGAAGGCAATAGGGTCTCTTGCTGTGGGCTTGCTTCCATGTACTGAGCCAGCATCTGCACGTGTTGCCACCCCTTTGAGGCTGGAGTGGTGTTGTTTCCACTGGATTTGACTGAGGTCACTGAAGACTGCATCAAACACTCATGATGGAGTCATCTCGATAACTGCATGCATGATTTTATGTGTGCCTGTCTTTAACCAATTGTGTGAATGTATTTATGTGAATAGAAATCATTCCATTTTATCCCTTCTCTTCATGTTGTCTTGGCTCTGCATTATGCAGCAGAATCCAAGCAATTGTTATCAGTCTGAGTTGCACTTCTGGAAGTGGGATCCATCCATCAGAAGCATATTTTGCTGGGCAGTAATGGGGAGGGCTGAGTACCAAGAATCACAGCTGGTTTCTCCTGAACAGGGCACATCTTGCTCTGCACTTAGAGAAGCAGGGATGCCTCCAGTATCTGCCAGCCTTGGAGCCAAAAAGAGGTTACAACCTTCTCATTTGTAAAACATTTCCTAGACTAGAGAGTGAATTGTTTAGGGCCTTTCATGTTTCTTTACTCAACAGTTCTACATCTTTCTGCCTCTATGAAATTCCAACTGAGAAGGAGTTTGGGTCCTAGTCAGGGGTTGTGTCTACTACTGTTCACATTTAGTGGCTCTAAGTAGGTCCATTCTGTTGAGCATAGGTTGGCAGACACATGTGCACACAAAGGCAAAGCAACTGAGGCTAAATGAAGGTGGCACCAGCATAAGAGCTCAGTTCTCAGGAGGCCTCTGGAAGCTACTGACACAAACAGGAGCAGTCCTCAGTTTTCTGGAGCAAAACTGTGTTTCTTTATTTGCAGTGTATAGGAATAGGTTGGCTATGGGTTTGGTCTCCTGGTAGTTAACTGATTTGGCACCATTACTTTTTTCAGTCATCTTGGAAAGAAGTTTGCTGTTGGAGTAGGTGTCAAGCAGGTATCTGTGTCCATCAGTTTTGCTTTCCATCATTCAGAGATACAAGCAAGCTACAGAGAGATCACAACCCTTGCATGGCACCAGGATTTGAAGCATCTTAAAGGCAAAGTGTGGTTGTGTGTGCTGGGGGGGGGGGGAATCTATGCTCTTTTCCACCACTCCTACCTCTGAGAAATCATATACACTTCACTATTTAGGTACCTAAAGCAAAGCATGTGCTTAGATAGGGTGAATGAGGCTCTGAGTACTGGCTCTGTGCCTCTTGTCCCTTTCTTTTTCTAAGCAAGGTTTCTGTAATGACCATTTGATATGCATAAACATATCCTAAGAACAGAGCTTTGCTCCTGAAATACAAGAGGTGTAGGACATTACAGTATTTCCTTAGTAGCAGAGCAGTGTTTAAGGGTAAAATAAATGCAAGCTATTAATACAACAGCAGTATTAGTCTACAGGTTTCAAAATAGGTTCAGCTAGGGCTCATATGTGTGAATCAGAAGGCATTCATTGGTGGCTCCTCGGTGCTAAGAAGGGAACCAGAGAATAGCAGTAGGCTGAAGTGACTTTTAAGTGACAGCTTGGCACCTAATAGTGAGCTGCCAAGTTGCATCTGAGGGGTAGTGGGTGGAAACTCCTTTCAAACTCTCTTCAGTGTTCAAGATGTGCAGAGTTGCAGTGCAGCATTAGCAGGTATTGTGTAATGCTGCCTGTTAAGAGCCTGGCTGGATTTCAGCTTGTTTTGTAACTGTTGATGTCACTTCGAAGATGGGCTCATGGCGCAATCGGTATTAATATCCTGGCTCCTCACCTCATTCTGAATTAACTTTCTGAGATGTGTGAAATAGGGTTTGTTCTCTTCTTACCCTAGCACCGTGCTAACAAAACTGGGTGCTTTTAGGGATGCTTTTTCGTCACAGAAATGTGCTGCTCTCCTGCTTTCTACGGGCTTTAACCTTGTCTGCTTCTGGCCAGTGAGACACATGTTGCATAGGCAGGAAATTGCTGGCTTACCATGCACAGGTAGTTGGTGCCTAAGCTGTAGTTATAGGAGAGGCTTTACAGATTGCATCAGGGCCTGAAATCCACTGCTGTTTTGCTGAAATACCTTCAATTTCTTACTGCATTGAGTTTTTAAGGCTACATTATTGATTTTTAATCTTACAATGAAAAGCCACTGTCTGCATAATAGATTCCTCTTAACATATCTAACATTGGATTAATGTGTAAGAATCCCATTAGCAGGAGCAGAACTGTGGTTGAGCTCTGCTGTGATCTGGGTCTCCCAAACATCATGCCTTGATGATCTTAAAGGTCTTTCCCAGCCTGGTCAGTTCTGTGTGAGGCCATGGTTGGATTGGGATCACTTGGCATCAGTTAGGTCAGTTCTGTTGCTTTCCTTCCCTCTAAGATCTGCTGCCTTCACACAGGGCTTAGCTAAAACCTCTCAGTGATGCCTTTCCCTCTCTAGAACATCAAAGCACTGAGTTTTGAAGTCCTCAACATCTCTACCAGCTCTTACATTAAGGCAGAAAGGCTCCCGATGCGTTTAACTTCAGAAGTGCCTAAGACATCCTAATATAAAATAAGTTCATAATCAGCTTCTAAGGCAGCTTATTAAATTAAGCACGATTTTTGGGTCTCAGAGTTGCCTTCTTAGGGGTTGAGTCGTTCCAGCATGAAGCTGAGGTACAGCATAGCATCTTCCTGGCAGGATTTGAGTTGGAGATGAACCCTCAGCCAACCTGATGGCCCGTGCCAGGTTGTGTGCTGTAGAGCTGTTGAGGTGAACTCATTCACATGGGATTTGGGGATCTCAGCGCAGCATCTGTGTCATGTAGTTTCAGTGCCTTTCATCAGCGAACTTTAGGCCTTGTTAATATGTAGGAAGGGAGCTATTTCAACACCTCCCCGTGTTGCTAAGTTAGAGTGGAGTGATTGTCCCTCCAGCGTGGTGCAAATGTGACTGTGTTCTCCTTAGTGCTGTGTGCCATTCATGTGAGCAGGAGAAAACAGAGATTGGGTATTCTGTAACATCTGTACTTCCTGCCAGCAATACTTTGTTCTACCCTTGAAAGAATTAAGATTTCATCCTTAATTGAGTGGGGTTGAGTAATAGAATATGGGGGGCTGATCAGCTCCCTGCTTCCCAGGTAATATTCCTTGCTGCCTGAAAAGCATATTGCTAAAGGCAAAGTGCTGTCAGGCATTCCAGCCCTGTGTCCATCGGTCATGGGTTCAGCCCCTTCAGACAACAGGTCTCTTGTCTTCTCTCTGTGTAGCTGCCTTCTAAAAATAACCCCATCAGAACAGGGTTGGATTACGGGGCATGGACGATCCTTTGCCTCTCCTTATCTGTTAAATGTTGGCCTTGCAAGTGGTAGGAGCGTGTTATCAGCCGTAAAGGAAGTATTTGATCCAGAATCACTTCCGCCTGCGGAGGCATCAGCTGCCAGGAATGCTGCCAGGAATTCCTGTTCCCAGCTCAGCAGTATTGTTTGCTTCTGAATGCCTTTGGCAAGCTGCAGCTTTCCAGCCAAGATGATGCTCCTGCCTTGCAGTGGGGGCTGTGGTTCCTGCCTGTCACCGCGTTTTCCTCTTGCATCTTCGGGGTGAAGAGCAGCTCAGTTCTTCTCGTGCCTCCTGCCAGCAAAGCCTGTTGAGAAGGGATTTTTCAGGGTCGTCTTCTTTTGGTTTGCCTTTTTGTTGAATACCATTCCAGGGAAGGGGGGGCAGAGGGGAAGCGTGTGCTTGGGAAGGTGTCTCTGTTAGTTATACAGTCATTTCCCTGAGGTGGACTGCAAAGGAAGCACAGCTGGTAAAACCTGACCAGATGCCCTCCTCAGCAGCGAGCTGGGGTAGTTTAAGATGCTTCTGCCACAGCTAAGAGCAGTTTCTCTTCACAGATCAACCGGAAAGAGCAGGAGCAGAGGGGTGCTGCTGGTCTGTGTGTGTGAAGTCGGGCAGCTCAGCTCGAACCCCTTCCAGCAGTCGTTTCAAAGCAAGGCTGCTCACTGCCTTCAGTGGAGGAGGGTTTCTTCATTCCGCTGCTCTTCTGTGGGCACGGTGGCTCTCAGTGTCTCGGCAGTCATGAGCAGCTCCATGTCTTCAGTAGACTCCTTTGCAAAGTGTTCTCAGAGGAAAACATCACAGAAACACAGAGTGGCTTCAATTGGAAGGGACCTTAAAGCTCATCCAGTTCCACCTTCCACTAGACCAAGCTTTGGTGCATTCTGCTACGTTGTGTTCCCCTTCTTTAGATGGATACCTCCCTTCTGTTGCCTGTCTTTTCTCTATGGTTTCTTTACTATTGCCTTCTACAGGGGCAATGGGAGATGTTGCAAGGGCTGCTTTGAGGACATGGGTATATCAACCCAACTGTGTTCACAGTGTAGGTGGAAACTGCTTCTATTAAATCAATAATTCCAGCCACAACTCCCTGAAAACTGGCACAGTCTCCTGCCAAGATTTAGTCTCTAGGCCAAGCTTCCTGATGCCAAAAGAGTTAGGAAAATATTTGAGTTAAGTTCACCTCAGTTTGTGGATTCTTCTGTTTCCTGCTCTTGCATCCAGCTTTGCCCTTTCTCTGGAACGAGATCAGACCTGTGCCGTTCCAGCTTGCTTGCTTTTCTTCCTGGGAAGTGGGGGAGAAATCCAGCACGGGTGTTCCAGTGGAAGGGTGACTTCAGGTGGATGGAGGATCGCTCATGGAGCTTTACGGTTGCCTCTCACACGTATACTACTTGTTTACTCTTGTTGCTTGCTGTAGAGAACAGTGGCAGCCTTCAAGTGATCCAGCTTTACCGGGGCTGTGTTGAAGGCCAGGTTGGACACAGGGGTTTGGAGCAAGCTGCTCTAGTGGAAGGTGTCCCAGTCCATGGCAGGGGGTTGGAGCTGGATGAGCTTAAAGGTCCCTTCCAA